CTCTCACTACCGTTTTTTTACTGATTGTGGCCATTCAAGACAAGAGTTTTCGGAAAAACCAATGGCAACGGTAGTTCCGAAATGCGAGATAGTTTCTCAAAAAATTTGATCTACAAATCAACTCTTTTGCTTTATTCATCCCGGTCGAACCAAACTGGCTTTGTTTTGACCAATTTTTTCGGATTCTCTGTAATTCTTAGAAAATAAAAAAGAGCAGCTCTGATGTTTTTCAACACCAACTAGAAAAGTATGTTGAATATGGTTTTTTCTTGAATATACTGTGTCTGAATTTGTGTTTGACTGTGTTTCGACTATACTTTGTGTTCGACTAGTTTTCGACCATTTTTTCAATTACGTTTCGAAATTGCGTTGGACCAAAAGGGTTGTTTTGACCACGGATTTTGGGTCGAACAAAATCCGTGTGTTCTACTGAGTTCGGTCGAAGCACAAGTCTTACAAAATCACAAGAACCAACGCTGATCGGTCGAAGCACAAGAACCAACACTGATTAGCAAAACTTTAAAGTGAAATACTTTTCATCAATAGAAAACGATCCTATGAAAAAGGAAGAAACCTTAATTACTTAAGCATTTAAATATGCGATGGTGTAAGCTTTTTAACAGTTTCTTCATAACTCATGAGTCTGGAGAAAGCAGCTGGAGAAAGCCAAAAAAAGAGAGACACTGGAATCACTGAGCTGAAACGACTCGATAAAGCTTCAGGTTTACCACAACTTGGCCGATTACGGCTGCAATAGTGTTACCATGTGAATACTTTTTTACTTAAAAAAACGGCCTGGAGTCGCAAAAAAGGGCTTCGCTCAACAAAATAACTCAGGCTGGAAATTGTGGAAATCAGAAAATTGGACTGTGCTTAGACAGGCTGGATAGAATTTCATAGATCCTCTTTGAATCGCAGAAAGCACAGTTATTATTATTAAGCTGCCAAAAACAAATTTTTATCATTGCTTGCAAAAGGGCTTTTAGGGAAAAATGCGCATTTCTAAAAACATGACCAACAAAAAAACTTGGCCTCAAGATTTTGAGAAAAAAATAGCTTGTGAAAATTGCATATCAAATACGGTCGCCTCAGTTCTGCTATGAAGAGCTCTTGATGGCTGTAAAAAAGCACAGTCTCAAATCAAGCCCTCGGCTTACAGTCAAAATTGTTGAATTAACCAAGAAAAGCTCGCCAGTAGAAAATCTACAAGGTATGCTACGAGCAGTCATTGTTTCAACTGTCACTACAGTTCAACAAACTCCTAAGGACTCGAACATCAAATATGAGCCCAAGTTTTTATGAAAATCTCCGATACGCATATCCGATATTCCGACGAGCTATATGCATCATACGACCTTCCATCAGATTGGAAAACAACAAGTACCAGCGTGTAGATGAAAGGCTCAACGAAAATGAAATTCCAGTTCAATTCCAGAAACTCTAGTTAAATGAAATTCCAGTTAACTACTGTTTCCTCAACCGATCTTTAACTTGTGAGATAATTGTCCTCTCGAGAAAAAACAACGACAACGGTAGTCAAAAAAGCAAAGATAGATTGCGCAAAGTATTGATCTAAGATACTTTTTCTTGGACTACTCTTTCCTCTGACAATTTTGAACTTGTAAGACAATTGTCTTTTTGAAAATAAAAACGAGAACGTTAGTTACCAGATGGATTTTAACGGGTTCAGTCATTCAGACTTCATCGTTGAATATTCTAGAGGCATCTCCACTAAGAACAAGGATAGACGGTTACTGCAAATAGCACAGAATGTTCCAACCATAGTATTAAGAAATACAATTTTTTTAATCCATTAAAAACAAAAAAAAGTTAGAAAAATTTTAAAAATTTCACAGTGTTTATTTTTTTTCTTATGCATGTTTTTTTTTTGGAATTTTTTTTTGAAAAATTTGATTCCCAAAATAGGGCCTAAAAACTAAATTTGCTCGAGTAAAACCTGTTTTTCATGGCTTAAAGAAGCTATTGCAAGCCATGCCCGCTGACCTTATTAGCTCGAAAAAAGGCCAAAATTTAAAAAATTCAAACTAGAGGAAAATTTTCGAAATTTTTAAATGTCGATCGATTTGCGAGTAAAAAGGCATTATTAAGACATGTAACTCGACCCATCCGATGAATATTTGTGGCATCTGTTGTTGCGTGGTGCGTGGTAAAAAAAAACAAAAAAAACATACTCGAATACAAAGGTCCTGCACATTTTTCAAACGGACGAACAAGCTATCACAAATATATTACAAAATTAATTTACAATAATTGTGTTATTTGTGAAACGCTTAGTTCTTTTAGCACTGCAAGGCTAGAATTCTTTCTTCAGGTACCGTTTGCGAGCAAATTTTGATGAAAAAAATGTATGTTATATATTTTTATAGTCAATTAAATGTTGAAATTAGCTGAAAATTGTTTTTTGTTGTCGTGGAAAATTTAATTCGAACAAAAATGAACCTTAGACCAGAAAATTATTTCTGGAATTCACAACAAACAATCAAAAAATTTTCACCAAGGAAGTTTTGCGTAGATAACACTATCATCCTGGTTTAAATCTCTGAAGGTTATCTTAATTCGAGCCCAATATTGTATGATCTATATTGTTTTATTTTGCCTAATTTCACCCCTTACAGATCTTGGGTCTCATGTTATGGTTCGCAAATTTTCTGGTAGTTTTATACGTATTCCTTTTGATGTAATGAAAATCGTATATATGCAAATATGCTGTTAGTAAACTAAACAAACTCAAAAAAAATCGAATCGTTGTTCATAATTTTCGATTTTTTTTAAATTTTTTTTTGTGGCTGCCTAGTTTGGATTTTGAGGTTCAGTCATTGATTTGAAGTATTTTTTTAAAAATGTTTTTGATTTTTGAATTATTGAATATTCAGCGGAATCATATCTAGTTAAATACAACATAAAATAAAACTTTTTAAAAATTTTTAACATGTCCAATCGAGACTAAAATTGATTCAAAGAAGTGAAAATATTGAAACAAAATGGTTTTTAAGCTTTTTTTTAATACCTAGCGCCAAGTATTCTTTTCCTACAGCTAATTACGCCTGTTTTAATGTTTTTGATTTGCTGTAAATTTGTTCCTGTAAACCATGTTTTTGTAATTTCTTATCCTGGTCATTACTGTTTTCAGAATTTTCTCCATATGTATTCACATTTTCTGCAAAATGAACACTTTTTAGTGTTCTGGAAGTTTCGGGGAAATCGAAGATGTAAAATAATAGCAATGTAGGATGTAATTCTGATCCCAAAAGAAAGTAAAATTTTACATTATGGTATCAGTTTTCAGTCAGCCCCTAAATATCGAGTTTGTTTTTCTAAATCCGAAAATTGAGCATTTTTGGAGCAGTAAATCACAACGTCTTACCTTTTCAAAATCCTTTTTTATAAGAAAATGAGTTTTTTTTGACAAAATTTTTTTGATTGAATCAAGAATCTTTTTTTTTTAGAAAACACAAACAAAATTGAGTGACTCATATCTTTTCTGGGTCATGATATATTGTCACTTTCTTTTTGGGACTCTCAAAATTGGCTAATCAAGATACAATGCGTAGAATTTTTAAATTAGGATTTCAATCTCATCGTGTCACTACAAAATATCCTGTCATTTAGTCTAATTCAATGTAAATTTACTCTAAACATTTAGTTAAAAACCAAAAAACTATAACCATTTTTTTTTTGAAACTGATGCAAATTTTGGAATTTTTTATTTGGAATTGTTTTAACATGCAAAACTAAAAATTTACTCAGTTTTGCATTCAGTGGAAAAGGAATAAGAGCCGGGGTAGTCAAAAACAATTTTAAAAACTATTTTTAGAACCAGGGCGAATCTGGCATTTTCTCGAGGGGGATCAGGTTTTTTCTTCGAATTAAGATAAAAATCAAAATAACTGATGACCTATTTTTTGGCCGACGAAATAGATTTTGCGTGCTGCTCCAAATCACTATAAAAACCCTATTTCTGCAGGCAAAATGTTGGGAAAATGCAGGCCAAAAAGGCGTTCTTAGGCAATTTTTGAAAAAATTTGATCAAAAAATTGCGTTTTTCAGCGCGCGCTCCCTCCTCAAATTTAGTATATATTGGCTGCAAAGGTGTTTTTAGAACATTTTTAGGGTAAGTCGGTCGAGAATGGATGTTATGAAATAGTAGGGGTCCAATCCCTGAGAAGAGGGGGCAGGGCGCCCGCCCTCCACCTCCCTAAATCCGCCCGGGCTTAGCACATAGTTTAATCCCATTTTGTGAAGTTGAAGCGGTCTGAACAACTAATTAAATAATTTAAAAGAAAGAGTTGCATTAATTTTGCTACTCTTTTTATATTATCCTGTAATGTAAGAGAGACTATTTTAAATTTTTTGTATTGTGACAGTTGCATTGTAATCTCCCGGAACTACGAGGGGCATAATGGAATATATTTGGATTTGTGGTGATGCAGATAGTTAAGTTCACCTATTATACTACCCTAAGTAGAGTTACCCGAATTAGTGGGGGAAATCTATTGTTATAATAAATGATCATTTTTTCTGGTCTCCGTTTTTTGGCGCGGTAGGTTTCTTTTTACTCCATGATGTGTTTCATTTGCCAATTCTGAACGTAAATTCTGAACCTCTTAATTAAAAACAAAAACATTGAAAAAACCTGGAGGTCGTCCGGGTTCAGATTGCAATCTTACAAGTAAGTTCAATTAAATGAAATTTTCCTTTAACTGCATGTTTGTCTATAATCTTAATTTTTTGGAATAATAATTCAAAAAATAATCGGAAAAACTTCGGATTCCAAGAATCAGTTAATCAGTTTGTTCTTTTGACGTCATTGGCTATTGATGAAGAATTCATTAAAATTAATTGGACGAAGGGCTAAAATATGTTAATTTGAAGGAGTTTTTAATATCCGTGTTTTGGTTTGAGAAATCCCCTGAGCACTCAAATTTAAATTAACAACTGAGGATTTAAGTCATCAGTCAAATGCTTCATTTTGAGTGCTTTGGAGGCTGTTTAAGCAAATTGGGACCTCCTTCGAGTTTATTAAAATTTAAAGACTCCCGTCTTTTCAATTTAAAATTAACGACAGTAAGCGAACTAGCCGAGGTGCGTGAAGTTAGCTCCCGAAAGGACGCAAAATAAAACTGCACTCGCTTAGTTGAATTTATCTCAAACTCACTAAATTTTAATCTTTGTACATCACTATTTCTCTTCTAAAGTTAATATCTCGTCACTGAATTTAGATCGCAGAAGGAGAAATTCTTATCTTTTCAGATAAAAACCAAAAATGGCCATCGAACTGATACAAAATGCGACAGCCGAATACGAAAATCATCCAACTGGAGGTCAGACATACACTCTTGATTGGACTCGGCAAGTCTTTGGACCAATTGGAATTGTTGGAATCATTTTCAATTTGCTAATTGTCATCACAGTGTCAAAGTTGGAAATGAACAAAGGTTCGGCTATCACTTCATCTTTTAGAGGTCCAAACAAAGGAGAAAATTTTACAACCTTTAAGCTAATATCCCACATGTTGATATCTAACAAATCTCCAAAACTTTCTTTTTCGGTCATTTTTGGTTCAATGATAATAAAATTCAGACTAGAATTCTCATCATTTTTTGGCTGAGTAGATGTCGATCTCGGATTTTCTGAAGGAAAACAACTGAAAACCACAGCAAGTATGTCGACTGCATTGATTTTGCGAGCTATCACAAAACACTATACACACCTTTGTGTGCCTGAATTTAACGCCCCAGATGATTTTTTTTAAAGTAAAATGGTCAAAAATGCCATGTTGACCTTTGTTTTGGAACATCTTGACCATTTTGTTATGTGGGGGTGACCAGGGGGTCTACCTGAGCGAGGAGGGGCATCTCCTGTTAATTCGACTTCTGTTTTTATCTACTTCATAAATTAATTTTGATTGAGAAATACACTCAAAATATAAAATTAATAACTTTTCCAAAAATACTCAGCAGAAATATATTTAATATGGGTCCTAGAGCTGATTGATTTAAGGTCCTTCATGCCTCGCCATTCAACTCCTCGCATTCTGGGACTCCATTGCAATCATAGGAGATGCCATATTCGAGATGACATTCAAATCAATTCTCAATTTCGACATTTTTGTCCTGGATCAATTCGGTGTTCTGTGCAAAGTTCTCAGAAGTTTTGATTGGCTTGGAAATCATTCGGCCAACTGGCACGTCGTCATCCTCTGTCTAGACAGGTATTGCATATCTGCCTTTTCGAAATGTTCCGATCTTTTTTAGGCCGAACAAAATGATTTTCCGAGCTCTCGTAAATCACTATAAATTGAAGACTCTCTTTTGACCAAATAGCAATGGCAGTTTTTGATAAAAAACAGACCAAAATTGCGGTTTCTTGGCGCCCGATCCCCTTAAAATTAGTATAAATTGTCGCGGTGCCTAAGGCCCCTTTAGAAAAATTTTAGGATTGGTCGACCCAAAATGGATATCATAAAAAAAGAAAGGGGGTCAGAAATTACCCTTTGCTTGGTAAACGGGTCGAATTCCCGAGAGGTGAGAGAGAAATTCCCGCATCCCGCTTCCCTGAATCGGCCCCTGATCTTATAAGTACTGCTTTTTCAACTTATTAGGAAGGTCAAGGTCACCAGTTAATCTTACGATCAAGTATTTTGAAATAAATTGAACCAGTAAGCATCTGTTGAAAATTGGATGAGTTGGAAGTTATTCATGACAGGGGAAAATCAACCATTCTGAACTTTTATATCTGAATACATTCCCGTCCAGTTCTTTTCAACCATCAACTTGTAGCTTAGCCAGTAAGATTCCAAAAATATTATTGACGTTCATTTTTTTGGCATTTCATTTCCCCCAATTACTTAATGGACATATTTTTTTAATTGGTTGAGGTGGTCAAATAATAGCAATTAGGCTATGACATGAATTTATCATGTTTTTTTTGTATAAATGCACATAATTTCTGGGATCTCATATTTAAATTTACAGGTATTTGTCTGTGGCAAAGCCAATGTTCTACTATGGTCAATGGAAGCGGAGACACATTTGGATCCTGAGTGTATGTTCCGTGGTGCTAACTTGGATCTCCCAACTACCCTTTCTTTACTTCTTTCGCAAAGTGAACAACACCTGCGATCTTGACCCTGGATTTTTCCCGGCCTTCGTGCTGAGATATTTCATCAAGTTCCAGGCATATGTGATGTTTTTTGCTGTGCCCGGAATTCTGATTGTGTCCATGTCGGTGGCTTTCATCTACAAGCAAACCAAAAAACGACCAACAGAAGGTATGAAAATGTGGTCTCAGATATACGAAGGACCAAAAACCCTAACGTTTTTAACCAATCAACATGATTTAAGCGGTATATTACTGACTGATTGTAGCGCTCAGTTTTTCCTAGTTTTTATTTTTTGTATTCTGATTGGCTAACAAAAATTTTCCTATATTTTGTCCATCTGGCTCGAGTGATTCCACCGATAATTTATTTAAAGTTTTTGTTTCGAAATGGTCTATATCTGTAACGTCTCACAAAAATACCCCATCTGTGCTCATGTAATTTGTTTCTCCCATTCCTTTTCATATAACCGAAAAAATGCAGTTTTGAGTTGATGTCACATAGCCTTTGTTTTCTGCGTCCGTAGGTGGTAGCCTCTCCTCTCCCTCAGATAATTTTTTTTGTTCGATATGTTTTTGTGATTTCGTAACTGTTTTTTTTTGCGTAAATTTCACTCTTCAAATGAAAGTAAGCAGACTTCAAAGAACTAGACTTTTTTATTCCACGAAACGTTTTGCGCGGAAGTATGTGGGATGCTTTAAGACTATTTGGCTGTACAGTCAAACCCAAGTACTCTTTGCAAAAACGAAAAATGCTAGTCAGAAGTCCATTTGAAACTTCAGATTCCAAGGGAGGATTTCCAGTTATGACAGAGTCTTTATTACTATATCGCTCCTGTTCGGACCGTGAAATTGCTTCTAATTGTCATTATAATTGATAATTGAATGTGGTTTGAAAAAAAAGTCCGTTTTATTTCATCATTATTGAAACAAATCGTTTTGTTTTAATTTCAACCATGCTTAACAACCCACCATCATTCAAGACTGCCATTTTTCGAATAAGTTTTTTCCTAAATTAAAAAGTCACGATACGAAAAAAAAAGAAATAACAATATAAAATGCTTTGCAAGCAATCTAAAAAGTAATGAAAAAATTTGCGTCCTAGAATTGCTGCAGGAAATAGAGCTTGCTCATAAAGTTGAAAAAAAAACACATTTTTGCATAATTTTTTAATCATGCGTTAAAAATCTGACGAATAGATATTTCAACTAAGTCTGTTTACATTGATTTTAAAACTTTTAATAAAAATAATTTTCATCGATGTCAATTTTATGTCGCAGGAGCCTAACTGATTCCTTATTTTTGTAACAGTGGTACAAATTTGTTCAAAGTAGCAAACTTAAAAAATTTTTAAGCAGAGTTTGGTTAAAGTTGCAAAAAATCTATGAAGTAGTATGTCTTTGTTTTTAGGGAGAAAACTGTCCGCCGAAAGAATCCGAACTGAGTTGGCTTATCGTCGTATGATCATCGCACTCATCATATCCTACATATTCATAGCGTCAGCTGCTTCTGTGGCCATATATGTTGGTCTATCTCAAGGCCATATATGGGCATACAATCTGGGCGACGGACTCTTGGTCACCCAGAGTTCTCTGAATCTTGTGTTCTACATGTTTTCTGGACCTGTGTTCAGAAATGCCCTTTGGCGCGCAATTATTTGCAAATAAATTATGGAAGTTCATGCATGGGAGCTAAATTAAATGCAAGTGGTTTTTGAAAAAAACGCATCATTCAGAAGGTTTGAAAAATGGAAAAAAATGATAATTGTCTTATGAAAACTGTAATGATTAAGTAGAGATGATATTTGTCCTCGATTATTCGTTATAACTTTTTATTTGCGGTTGGCAGTATTGAAACTATAGATTGCGTAAAATGTATCAAAATTTATTTATTGGGTTTGTTGCTAAAAGCAATTTTCGAAAAATGTATCGGTGCTAGTTATAGTTTTGATATGATTTGGAAGCGTATACCCTTAATTTTAATTCTTAATGTTGTAAATCATAAACATCAAAAAAAAACAGTTGACTGACGAGTAAAACTGCTGTTTTGAAGTTTACGAATGAATCACTTTCAAGCCATACTTCAGTTAACTTTCATTCAGAGGCGGATCTAGATTTATTCGAGGGGGGGGGGGCGGATTTTCAAAAAGTATCAAAAATTTTTCGACCTCTTTTTGTCATCCATATTGATTTTCCGAGCTCTCCCAATGCACTAAAAAGACGCGCGCTCTCCCCTCAAAGTTAATATTTCTTGGCGTCGAAAACGCCTTTGAAAAATTTTAGGGTCCGTCAGCCAAAAACGGATATCCCAAAGTAGTACAAAAGGGGACCCTTCGGGTCAGCAGGGGGTCGAATCCCTGAAAGGGGGCGCCCCCCCCCCCCGTCTCCACTAAAGCCGCCCCTGCTTTCATTGTTTAAAAAAGTGTTTTCATCAATCACAGATAGGCCTCGCTAGTTACCAAAGTGTAATCAGCTTGTCAAGTGGCGTCTCTTTGTGCGAAACGTTTTTGCTTTTTGAATAGAGTGCCCACAATAAAAATGAAAATCATTAAAGAAGTCAATGGCTTTTAGAAACCCTTCCGGTACCCAACGGAGGCTGTTTTTCTATATATAAATTTTATGTTGCTTATCCATCCTAGTTTTCTCGTTATTTCAGTGCAGAAGTGATCTATTTCTTTTATAGTTTAGAAGTAAACAGTTTCTGGAAAGAAATAACCAGAAATCAGTTCATTGCTCAACCGAAACGAGATAAACATGCTTCGAGTATGCACAATAACAGTAGCAATACAATGCAAACTTACACTTGTTATAACAATTTTTTTTTTGCTAAAACAAGGAACCTTCATCAAGGCCTGTAGCCCCGTGGATGGAGCAAACGTCTAGAAATGAGAAGGTCAGGGGTTCGCGCACCACCAGTAGACTTTTTCTAGCTAGAAATAACCTAAATTTAGCTAATTTCGGATCAGAATTAGGATGAGAAATAAAGAATTTAAAAAAATCCCTGCCTCTATTTAAACATTTCAAAAAGAATTTCTGACCAGATATTAGATTAGATACAAAGTATTTCAAGTCAGAAATAAAAAATTTTCTCGATATGGGTTCTATTTCTGAGGTGTATGTACATTTCTCTTCATAGTATACTTGAGGTTGATCTTCGTAAAAAATTAAAAACTATTTTGTTACTTAAAACATTTTTGAAACAAACATTTTCCTTCTATCGTATAACTTCACACTTTTCCAATTTTTGCCGATTTTGTCAATTTTTGTGCATGTTTAAACACTTGATAAAAAAGTAAACATTACTTAACTTCAAAAAATCTTAAAGGTTAACAATAAACAAGCAATAAACAGCAAAAACAATAGTTCAAAAAATGGACTAAACTTAAAAAACATTGATCAGCTTTCTCAGGAAACATTTAAAAAACTACAACAAAACTTTTTTATAATTTATGTTATTTGTTTTTTTGTATGCGATGAAACATTATACAAACGCAAAAACAGTGAATTCGACATAAGTGAAAAATCAAAAAACGAAGAGAAAAAAATTTTTGAAGAAAAAATTTTCTTAACTTTTTCTATGATTTTAGAAGAATGATTTCTTAATTATTTAAAACTTTTCTGGCTGCCAAGAAAACGCTATTTAAATCTTCAATTTTTTCCTTCAAAAAAAAACAAAAATACTGTCGACCATTTTTCACAAAAAGAGCGTTACTTAAATGCTGTTTTTTCAAAAGTCGTTTGAATCACGACTATAAACAAAAACGGAAAAATTAAATCGCACCCGGATTAAATTTCTTTTCAAAAGGTTATGTTCGGAACAAAAGTTGTCCATTCATAATTGTATAATTGACCTGTGAAATAAAAATAATTTCAACATGTATGTACACCGCATCAAACGCACTCAAGTATCAAAACCTTACCGAATTGCAAAACCACAAACAATATGATGAACCTTCAGTCTGTAAGTAGGTGCAGCTCGGAAAGATGGAATAAACTTTATATTCCAAATAAGTGGAATGAAATTTTCTGCTTGAACGCCGAATTGCCAATAAGCAAAACAGCAAAAAAACATGTCTCAATAAATTTTCTATATGCACAAGGGCAGTTTCTCTGGAAACAAAACATCAAAATCAAAAGTTTTTGGATTATTTGTTGTTTAAACATAGCGGGTGAAAAATTACAATCATAAAAACTTCTTTCTAGAAAAATGTAACTACTCGTCGGAAAAAATTTAATTAAGAGTTAAAACAAATTAAGGATTTTCATCAGCTACACGCAATGTAGAATAAAATAATTAAAAACGTATCCCCGATGATTGAAGAAGGGTAAAAAATATAAGTTTTTTTCAGACTGACAAACAAGCACAAAAATATTTGCCAACAAAAAAGAAACAACTGAAACAGTTTTTCTTTGTGTTTGCTGGAACAAAAGATACAATTGAAGGCAAAAAAAATCTGAAAAAGTAAATCCCTCTGAAAAAAAAGAAAATTTATCAAAACATAGTGCAGATGAAAGCCACAAAGGACAAAAAAAACTTTTTGCAAATAATTTACAGCTTGAAGAACTGCTAAAACAATTGGTTTTTTGCAGTCAATATTGACGCAAAAAAAATTGATCAACATTTTGTTTGGGGCAACAAGCAAACCATAAGTACAAATTGTGATGTTTGATTATCATTTTTTTGAGATCCGGTACAACCCTTGATATTATACAAGTTTTGAAAATTTTGAAAAAGAAATTTAGCATTGAGTGTGGCAACATCATAAAAATTATAATTCTAACCATACCAAAACAATTGGGCCTATTTTAACAATTTCACTTCAAAACAGTTACGAAAAAGTTTTTTCAAATGATGGAACCGAGCGCTTCATTTTAGACCACTTGAACCGTCGAATAGACAATTTTGCTTTTTTTGCCCGTCTTTGGTTTTCAGGCCAATTGTTTCAACAGGAACAATTTTTTTTTGATTTCGTGACTCCTCGCAAAATACTGCACTTTCGATTGGTACAAGGGATGCTATCACTTCTCCAGATAGAGGAAACATATTTTACTGCAACACTCAATCAATTGAAACTCAGTGTAAATTCTCTGACTCAAAAAAATCGTTCGCTAGTTTTGGTCTTGAAACATCGTTGATACTGTCGATAAGCCTATGCTAATCTGTTTTTTTTTGTGTTTTCATATCAATTTCAGTATGTGAGCGTCACACTAACAATTTGCAAACTAAAAAATTGCGGAGTCTCTGATGGTTCAAGTCTGGTACGACCTTTTTTCCTTTTGTACATAAATAATGTAGAAAAACTGAATGAAAATTGATGAAAGTTTATATCTTCTGCCAATAGTGAAGCTATTCAAACGGATTATTAAAACCAAAACTGGCCAAGAAGTTTGAAAAATACTCTAAAAGAGCAGGAAAAAAGTTGGACAAAACAAGTTGATTTTGAAACTTAACGAAAACTAAACAATTAGGTTCTTTTAACAAAAAAAGTAAAAAAACACCGAATTGAAACAAACTAAGACCACGGGTTAGCCAAAAATGCTAGTTATACAATTTTTATATATGGAAAAATGCTAATCATGCACTTTTCATGCAATTCCATAAGTACAGAAAATTGCATGAAAGGTCTATGATTAGTATTTTTTCATATATGGAAATTGTATGACTAGTATTTTTCCATAAACCAAAAATATTGATTTTTTACATTTTATTTTCTCAAATTTGTTTGGTTGTGTTTGTAACCGAACACAACTGACATACTCCTTGGTTACTCAAACGTAATAACCAAAGGTTTGGCCGTCTCGCGTTACAAATGCGTTGGAAAGAGCCTGAAATGTGTTAACTCTGTCTAACACAAATAATATAACGAAAGTAACGAACTTTGAAATTTTTAAAAATTTTTCAAAGATGATTATTTCTAAAATTTGAATTTTTAAATTACCAGACATTGATCAAGGCATACATAAACATGTCATACAAAAGAAAGAGAAGTTTTCAGCGTTTTTGAAAAAAGTTATGAAGAGAAAAGGGAAAAAATCCGATATTAGTATACCCAGGACTACGTTATACATACAAAAAATTAAGTTTTGCACGCAAAATTCTTTTTTTCAAAAAAAATTTGTTTGAGTACCAAAATCAATTTGCAATTGAATAAAAAAACACAAAAAAACTTTTGGGGGCAATTTCAAAAACACTTAGAAAAATTTTTGTCGTCACCATCAGAAAAATGCTAGTCATACATTTTCCATATATGAAAAAAATTTTCTTTTTTATTTAGTACAATACATCGAATTTTATGCCCTAGCAAGAGAAAAGTTTTTCGAAAATTCGCGAAACCATTTTAGCAAAATGTATGAAACTTGTATGATTAGTATTTTTTCTAATTAGTATTAGACTTAATTTATGGAATTGTATGACTAGCATTTTTGGTCTATGGAGGTCAACCAGCGACAACAAGGAAGAAAAACCCGTTTTTGAATAGCTTGGAGTGTATTTTGATAAAAATCTGGAATTTAAAAATCACACTGAGAATTCTAGTGCAAATTTAAATAAACTGTTGAAGCTTATATCAGTTTCGCTAAGTTCAAGTATACAGCAACTGATCCAACTAAGAAACTAATAACGCGCTTCCCGGTTGCTTTTTTTTCTCAGATGATTATGGTTCCAATCGCTGAAATTGGGGAAAATACTTTGATTCAGATATTTTAGTATTTTTTCTTTTTGTTTTCCTCGCAAAATCAGGTATCACAAATACTTGTCGGAGAAGCTCAAGTAAAAAAATCATTTTAAAGCTCTTAAAATTGTAATTCGAAAGCCAAAAAAAAACTTTTGTAAAGTTATTCACAGGGTACGGAAATTTGGATCTAATGATTATTTTTTTTGTCGAACTTTGAGCAAAAAAAGCAAACGAGAAGACCTATAATAGAGAAGTACGACGTAAAAAGTAAGATAAATTCTACAAATATTAATTTTTGAAGCCTTTTTGGCGCCTTTCTGACCACAAAAATTGTGTAAACCAAAATGAAATAAAACAAGATTTAAGAAAAGTAACAAAATGGTTTTGGTTTCAATTTTGTTTTTGTTTTTTAAACTTTCTGAAAATAATTGTTGTCAACTGCGTTTTGTGTTTTCAATATCGATTGATTCTACATTCAACGTTTTTGTTCCTTAGGTTTATAGTCAAACAAACAAAAAACTTTGTTGTACAAAGTTGCAAAAGTGTCACAAAAACCTTGTCGAGTTCAGATGCTCTTACAGTGCTAATTTAAATTATCCGGACGAAACGAACAAAACTTGAATTTTCAAACGCGTTTTTCTCAAATTGGGTTGAGATTAGACAAAATGTGAAGAGGACAAAAGTTGCTTAGAATTTTACCAGAATTAATATGGTGCTATTTTTTCTCCAAAATTCTCAACAAAAAAATTACCCCAAAAGTGGGTCATTTTGGCTTTTTTCAATTAATCAAGAATTACGCTGAAACTACTTTGTTAATTGATATGAAAATTATATCACAGGAAACCTCTTACGCAGCTCAACAAAGTATAAAAAGGGTTAAATCTCCAAAAAATTGCGCAAATTGTTTGAAATTTATTTTTAAACAGAGATTCTGGGTTTTATGTAGTAAAAATCACATTTATTGATTATCAAGTGAAAATTTTTTCATTTATACTGGTTTTTGGAGATTTAACCCTTCTTAAACTTTGTTGAGCTGCGTAAGAGGTTTCCTGTGATATAAATTTCATATCAATTAACAAAGTAGTTTCAGCGTAATTCTTGATTAATTGAAAAAAGCCAAAATGACCCATTTTTGGGGTAAAATTTTTGTTGAGAATTTTGAAGAAAAAATGGCACCATATTAAATCTGGTAAAATTCTAAACATTTTTTGTCCTCTTCACATTTTGTCTAATCTCAACCCAATTTGAGAAAAACGCGTTTGAAAATTCAAGTTTTGTTCGTTATGTCCGGATAATTTAAATCAGCACTGTATAGTCGAACAAACAAAAAACCATGTTGCAAAAATTTTCGTGTATGTCTTGTGTTTCGAAACTTTCTGTAGTACTTGCACAGAAATATGCAATCCTTGTTTATGAAAATTTTCAATGCATGTAGATCTATACTTGAAACGATTGACTAAGATTTAATTTTTCTCTGCCTAATTAGAAAACAAATTCCTTAAATTTTCATTAATAACTAAATTTATTGAACGAAACAATATTACAATGAAATTTTGAAAATACCAATCTACGATTAAACACAAATTTCATTGAATTCCAGCTATAGAAATTATTTTTCTAATTATTAAAAAATTTCAACAGCAATTTATTTGCAAACGGGATCGAGGGGCTCGTATGCTTTGACATTTTTGACCAAAAATTGAGATGTATTGATCGGTTTGATCGATTTTGTACCTGCCATAATGGAATAATGGAATAATGAAAGCGTCAAGATCGACTGCACGGAGATTGAACCACTAAATATGTATATTATGTTGGGTCTATTTGATATCATGGGGATACATTGACCGTCACCGCAGAAAAAAACTGGAAAATCGCCAAACTTCATTCACAAAAAACAGCAAAAAATCCATTAAAAAGCCATAAATATAGGTGCTCTGACTATCCTGACTTAAATTGAATGATTTGAGTGATTTAATTTTCATTTTTTCGAAACATTTCGAGCAGCTCGGTCCGGGAATGCTTTTGTGCAGAAATGAATTGAGCTTTTTTAGACAGCACAATCCTTCTGCTTTCATTTGAGCACTTTGTTGGAAATTACTCCTGGTTTATATAGTATTATCTCATCATAATTTTTTTCTTCTTATCATTTTCAATTAACAAATAATTATCAGACTGTTCATTTATCGAGTATCATCATCTATTAAGTTAAAATATTTTAAATTCTACTTATCAGAACAACAAAAACAAGCAAGACATGTTGTGATTAAGGATGCGATTGCAGATGCCAATCCGAACCAACAAAATCCGAAAACCCAGCTTCCGGAGGCCGACTGTTTCGACGCCTGACTCCACGCGTAGCCGTGTTTCTCCAGAATAGCCAGCTCGGCGTTTGACATATCCGAGACACTTTTGTCGCTCGCGTTCGCTGAGAAGGTTGAAATGGCGCCGAAATAGAGAATGCTCATCATGATCACCCCCAACAAAGTGCAAACTACTGAAATGATATATTTGGATTTTCTTTTCTAACTTAAATCAGGTCAGGTTAGCGACTATTGTTTCAAAACTTGTATTGTTGTATTTAAGTCTTAATAGTTGGTGTTAAGTTATTTCAAAAACTAGGGTTAGGAGTTTCAGGGTTCGAGTCAGAGACGTTTGAAAATGGGTCTAAAGACAATCTGTCAGTCTTGAAACAAAATTGTAAACTATGCTTTAACTTGTTTTTTCAATTATAAGACTGAAAATAACTATTTATTCCGGAAGTGGATTTAGGGCGGTCGTGAAGGGGCGGGTCCTCCCTTTGGCTCTTTCTTTTTTGACAATCCATTCTTCAAAAACTTTGAAACGGACATTTTGGTCCATTTTTTGAAACTTTTCCAGGGAGCTAAAGATGGTTGCAAAGAAGGGTCTGTATAGTGTTTTTGAGAAGCTGATTCATTAAGACAAATTGCTCAACTTTGGAAAAGAAATAACAAATTACTGTTTTGAAAATCCTCTACCCTGAATGAATCCGCGAGTGTGGATTTAATCTGATTATTATTAATATTATTATTATTATTATTATTATTATCATTATTATACCAGCTAGTGTTGCAGTTGTGATATTCAGCGCTTTCAGTCCGCATTTCTTTCGATCCAGAATTGCCACCACCTGCATGAAGCACTGGCCCGCACATGCAAATGCAAAGGAAGCTCCGATCATAATTGGGATTGCTCCTGCTAGATTCATGTGTCGGAACAGGTTACGCGAGAAATCCCGCCCTCCAATATCTGGTTTGCTATCTTTTGGGTCATACAGGTCTGAAACATTTTTAAAAAGTAACTTAAGCAAAAATCATATTTTATCATGTATATAGTTATTTGTAAAACATCAATATAATGTGGTTCCTGTGCATCGCTATTAGTACGCCTGAACAGTTCTGTCGAGAATAGTTTATTTGTATTATCTCCCCACATTCCAGACTGTGATATTTTGTTGCGACTCAAGGTCGTTTTTTTGCGCCTAGAACTTTAACGTCGTACCGTTTTTGCACCCGAAGGGACAGGCAGTGGTAGACTTGTAGCTAGAGGTCAAGTGAGAGCTCGTCCTCACACACTATCATTGCCATGGGGTCGAATTCACGATCTGACGATTTCAAAGTTAATGCCTTTCCACTATGCTAAGTGCCTTTGTACCTCAGTAATTATGATTTGAACAATCTAATAACATAATCTCATAATAGTTCAAGTATCTTAAAACAATTTAAAAAAAAATTGTTCAGTCCACTCGAAGACTTCTCTTAAGACTCTCAAAGCGAATTTTATTGAGAGGCTGACCTGCTCAATTTATTTCTTCTCTTATAAGACTTCAGGAACTAAACACCTCAGTGGTTCTCCGTACAAAAATCAACGGCTCGTTTGCGAGTTATTTTACTCGCGCCTAAATTGTCTTAAGCTGTTCAAGTTTGAAAAAAAAAATCCTCTGTTTGTATAATATATTTATTTCATGTTGTTCATTAGACTAAAATGGCGAAATAAAAAGAAGTCCGAAAGATCAAAACATCCTCATTATAATTATTACTTTCATAAGACACTTGAACGCTTCACGTTACCTGTGATGAAACCACACGTTTCGCCCCAGAAGCCGGAGTGGGTATCTTCCTTCTTGGACCCGGCGCCGGCGGGAGGGGATGGGGCCGGTTTTTTCCCATCTTCCTCGAATTCAGGCGTTTGTCTGTGAAAAAAAAAATCATTATTTGTCAAAAATTGAGGAAAAAAGATTGCGAATGTAAAGATAGTCAGTCATGCATATTCGAAATCCTTTATTTTATTCGAAGTAGTAGAAAGTATCGGAATCCAAGTTTTGTGCTTAGTTTAAATCAGAAGATAATGATAACAATAACTTCAATTTAATTTTCATTATATCATAATACCATCAACAAACTATGATTACGTAACAACCTTGCGTCCGAACTTGAACACCATCTCCAAAACCCACACTTGAAGAAGGAACGCCCTTTGTTTGGAATTTCGGCATACGCCACAAACACAAAGTCAATTTGTGCCATGAATCCGCAAAACCCTAAATGAGAATGAGTCATGAAAATAAGTGTTGTTTTCAGTAAAATCCGCCGAATCAAAACTTAGTTCATTTCGGCAAAAACCACAAGTTTTAAGATTTTGTTTGCTGCGCAGAAAAAATTGAAAACAGTTTCGATTATAGTTCTGGAAGAGTTCGTATTACTTAGTCTACACCTAGCAATCCGAGCTAAATAAAAAAGGTTGTAGAAAGTTTTTACAATTTTCTTCGTCTAGCTTTAAATTTTATTCCGCGTCTTTAACAGAGTTTTATCCCGTCACGCAAAAAAGCATAATCAAATAAAAATTTTTATTTAACTACTTAAAAAAGTTAGTTTATTATAATATTTTTTTTTCGCACGGCTACCCGCTACCTTTCAAGTTTCAAATCAGCCAGCAAAAATTTCTGGTGTCTTATTGCTTCATTAAAATTTTGAATGGAAAAAAAACGGAAACACAAAACTCAATTACGCATAAAAACGAAAAAATAAAACTCATTTTATAAATAACTACGATTTATAATTAAAAAAATTGGAAAAGTAAGGTATGATGAAAATAGTTCTTTTAGCGTTTAACAAGCAAAGAGGCATTCAGTTATAGTTCAATAAAATTTGGTTGACTTGAAATAATATGTACATTTCCAGACGCCTCCCACCTTAAAAGAATTTGGTTTTCTTCCCACTCAAAGAGTCGCCTTTTTGGGCTCCAATTGGCTACAATTTATACTAAATTTTTAGGAAAAAAAACGCGTCAAAAAAACAATTTGTTGGTCCAAATCATCCAATAACTGCATAAAAACGTCATTTTTGGTTTTATTTAGTGAAAAACTTTAACTGCAGTGTATAAAATTCAAGAGAATAAGTTTAAACAATTTTAAATAAATTTATCTTTTTAGGTTTTTGGACAAATTGTTAGTTAATTTGATCAATAAAAAAGTAATTCAAAACTTATGATTTAAAAAAAAAATTTCTCCTCGAGAAAAATATAGATCGGCACAACTTTTAATAAAACGTTTTTGGAGAAAATCAGTATTTTAATTTCAACGAAGAATAATGTTACCTAACGAATATTTCAACTTGATTGTTTCACATAACGACTTCATTAACACGACAAAGCATGCAAGCAGGACTAGGACAACAAGCCGACGGGTTTTCCAGCTGAAAGGATTTCATGCCATAATTCAAACTTTTCCAATAATTCTACACATGCCAAACTTGATAGTTATGACGTAAAAATGGAAAAAAAAAGTTAAAAGTTCAGCTTGTAACAACCCTTTGCTCCAAACAAAGCACACATTAAGTATGGTTTTTGTTTAGTGAAACAGCCGTTATTTGAAATGCATAAAACAAACAGTATAAAAACTCATTCGATATGTTTTTGGTTTTTGACTGTCCTAATTTTCCAACATTTGCTCAAAATATGTGAAATCCCGCGCTGAATTTCCATGAATAAAAATCGATTATAATTGAGTTTCACTGTCAGTGTCCACAAAAAACGAGAAAGAATCGATTCCAATCAATTAGAAATGGATTGTAAAGTTAATATTTTTCGAGGAAACAAAATCCATTCTTAATCCATTATATTGATTTTTTTTTCAGTTTTGCGGACATTGACAGTGAAAAACCAATTATAATCGATTTTTCTCACTTTTTTGAGGTGCGATTTTCAACGCAATTAAATTCTTTTCTTTATTTATTTTTAATTTAAAAAATTTGATAATTTTGTTTAGTTTTTATGCCACTCAATAGCTGAATTTCGGTCCTTTCAATAATTGCCCGCTTCAATTCCCTCCAATGTTTGCCCCTTTGCGCCCCTTTGTACTCTTACACCCGCCATCCCCCACCTGAACCAATCCCAACCCTACCCCCACCTGAACCAACCCCCTCCACCAAATGAACCCAACTGAACCTACCACCCCCCCCCCCCCCCCCGCACTCACCATACCTGAATCGGATCAGAGGGTGAGTGGGGGAGGGTTTGGTTCAAGTGGATGGGGGGGGGGGAGGTTGTTGGTTCAGGTGCGGGCGTCGGGTGATTCAGGTGGAGTGGGGGTGGTTCAGCGTTGGGGGGGTCCCAGAAGGCCAGGTGGGGGGAGGCAAGTGTGGGGAGGCAAAAGTTGGAATGGGGTTTGTAAGGGAGCAAAGGGCCAAAAGTTAGGAGGGGGGAGAGGTCCAGGTAATCTTTTTACAATTTGTTCTTAAGTTCAGAAAAGGAACAGGACGTACACTCACTTTGCAAAGATTTTGCATTACTCATTTGTAAATAAATACAGAAATTCTGCACGACACGAAACAAAAATAAAGTGGAAAAAATCAATTTTATTATGATTTTGTACTTTTATAATCCATCATAGAGAATTTCAAATGATTTACCATGTATTATGTTTTTGCCAAAAAAATGGATTCAAACCCATTTTTTGTCCAATTTTGTTGTCTAAGCCTGTCATGGGAATCAATTATATTGACAATGTTTTAGACCACAAAAATCCATTATATATTTTTTTCACTTTTCTTAGCTGCGGGAAGCCATTAAATATTTGTACAAACATCTACAAATGTTCGTTGCAGACTCGTAGTATTTAAAGATTACTTTTGTCTTGAGTTTTTTATTTTTACGATCCGGCTTGAAGTCTTCTCGGCTGAATTTGCAGCACCCCACGCGTGCAAGTTCATTTGCTATAGCATTCCAACTATTTCCTTATTAGCTTTTTTCCAATTTTAATTAAGACGAATAATTGCTACAACTCGCTAATATTGAAATTGTTTTTGATCTACGAAACTTAGTTTTTTTAGTTAGCTGGTTGAGATTCTTTTTTCTCCAGTGTATTATCATTCTTGATTGTAGTTTTCGTTTAAAAAGTGATGTTTCCAAATAAAATTTTGTACAGTTCCATATGTACAAAAAATTGTGATAAAACTCTACGACTCGCATTTCTTTATTCATGATTAGTTTATGAACAGCAATTTTTTTTAATATAAGAACCCCATTGGTTACGGGGAAGAAATCTCACAGTTACTTGCTCTTGATCAGAAATTGTATGAAAAAAAAAATTTCATAGTTCACTCAGAATTAACTTATACATTCACTTTTTAACTGTGAGATTCTGTGAGATTTCTTTCACTGAACCAATAGGGTTTCTTATTATAATGAATCCTTGCTTATCAGAAAAATTTCATAAGTAAAAACATAATTTGTCGTAGAGTTTACTCACAGTTTGTGTGTGTATGATATTGTACAAAAGTTTATGATGAAGTATTTTCCAAAATTAAATTTTTATGACAAGCATTTTTGATCATTGCGTGAAATAGAACAGTGTAGCACTCCCGAAGGAGGTTTAATAACAGTGCAACGGATTATGTAGGTTGCGCTGTGGAGGTTTCTGCTCAAGTGCGAGTAACTGTGAGATTTCTTCCCCTTAACCAATGGGGTTTCTTCTGTTACGAAGTCTTTGCTTTTCATAAAATTTCCATAAGAAAAAACGCTTGTTGTAAAAATTTTTCACATTTTTTGTACATATGGAATGTACAAAACTTTATGCTAATTTTCTTTCTTATATGAAACTTGTATGACAAGCATTTTTGCTCAACTCGGGAAATAGAAAATTGCAGCACTCTTTACAGAAAACTGAAACCAGTTATTATCAACTGATCGACTGTAACCAAAAACTAGCCAATGAGGAAACTAGTAGTTGCGCTTCGAAAAAACTTTGGTATAGACATCTATGGAAAAAGTTATTTGAAAACTTCAGTTTCAAACAGAAACTTCAATGAAGAATGATAATATATTGGAGAAAAAAGTATTCCAACTAGCTAGCTATAAACCTAAATTCTACAATTCAAAAACATTTTACGTTTTGACTGAGACAATTAATAATCCTATTTATTGAAAAAGCAAAAGCAAAAGGCTAAGCAAAGCCCAAATCACCATCGTCGTTCCTGAAAATCTACCTTCTTGACATTTAGATTTGACGCTGTAAGCTTCTTTTTTTTCAGTTTTTTTTAGTACTTGGCACAAAAACTGACTTTAGTCTAGCGTATTACTTTAGTTCGAAGTACTAATTTTTCCCCAGTAGATGATGCACACTTTCAAATTGGAGAATACATGCCCAATATGTGTTGTTTTTGTTGAGTAAACATAGTGAACAGCATTTGTATCTTACGGCAAAATGATTTTTAACTGTTGCTTTTCTCAGGTTTAGACATCTCGCATTGAAAATCATGAAAAAAATCTGCCTTTTTTGAAAAAAAAAGCAACAAAAACATAGATTTAGTTTGAGATGTGAAACGAGGGAAAATAGCCATTGCAGGCGGAAAATTGGCGATGGTCAGAAAACATGCCAGAGGAAGAATTTTTTGGCCATAAAAGAGAAACGATAAAAAATATTCTGCTAACGACTTTTTCAGCTAGCACATGACAGTTAAATCTACTGTCTGTTATATCCATTTGTAGATTTGTATCCAGAATAAAGTTTGACAGAGCTTCACATTTCTACATCAGATTTTTGCAATTTTTGTCCAAAGTATCCTCGTTTTCTTTTAAAATATCACATATTTAGCCCCCTAAAGTAGTACGTTGAGCGATTGTCCTCGAAATAGAAAATAAAAACAGCATACTAATTTTTGTTGCGAGATGAAAACTAACGCGAATATGATAGTCTGCGCTTGAAAATGGATACTAATCAAATTTAATACAATGAAACCAGTGTTTTTTCCATTTCCAGATAGCTTTAAATGATATTAGTTTAACAAAATATGCCCGGATTAATTGACCACAACTCACATCTAGTGTCGAATTTTCATCGAGGACCAAAAACGACGTTTTTTTGGTAGTCTGGAAGTATAAAAAATAAAACAAATTAATACATCAAAATTTGCAGGAAACTTAATTACAATCATAATGAACTATCTGTACTTGAATAAACGGGTCTTAGACTTAATTTATAAATAGTGTGATTTTGCCCTTGTAAGGCTGTTCTTTTTTTATTTTTCTGTATGTGTGAAATTTCGAAAGATCGCACAATACCAGAAAAAAAGTTGCGTCGGTGGTTAATACGCAATGAAAATTGGCCCATTACGAATAAATACAAATCATCTCAAGTACAGACATCGATTATAATGATATTTAAGTTTCTCTGACCTTGGAAAAATCATAATTTTTGGAATAATCAATTTGTTTTTTTTTTCGCAGACAGGATCTCGCGATAGATTTGGGTGCTGTCTAAACCAATGTCATCAAAAGTTCTCTGAAGTTGGAAAAAATACTGGTTTTGTTGTATTTACTTTGATGATTAGTCTAACCACATGCGCAGATTATCATATTCGTGTAGGTTTCATCCCACAAAAAACTCGAAAGCAGGTTAGTTTTTTTTATATTTCGTGACAAACAAAGCCAAGCATTAGGGGTAAATTTTTTGTAGGGGATGTTTTTCAACATTAGGAACAAAAATTGGATGTAAAATATGAAGTTCTGAAAATTAATGTTCTGGATGCAAGTCTCTACATGAAACTAAAAATCTGACTTGGTAATTCTAATTACAAATGAAGTACTAAAATAAACTTCAGATAATAATGAACCCCTTATAACAAGGGTACATTAAATTTGGTACATTTTTCAAATTATTTGTAATCAACTAGGTTTTGTTTTGGTCAAACTCGTTGTTTTATTATATAGATTGACAATGAAAATTAGTTCATGTCTAAAAGTTTTCTTTAGGGAAATCAACGAAGTCCTACAAAGTGTTTGGTTCCGGTTCCTTCTCCAGTATATGATTCAAAACTACAAATTGGAGAATAGATACATAATGTGTTGTTTTTGACGAGTAGTAGCCAGTTTAGATCAGAATAAAACTGCTCCTGGCAATTGTAATTTACAATAAAATGCTCTTTAGCAGTTGATTTTCTGAGATGTACGCATCGCGCATTGAAAAGCATGAAAAAGATCCATACCTTTTTCAAAAAGCACAAAACCACTTTCAGTTTGACCTAAAAAAGCGGGAACATTGCCGCCGATGCATGAGGAACAGTTATTTATGGCCAAAACTTCCAGAAGTAGAATTTTTGGCTATAAGATACAAAAACAATAAAAAAATTGAGTTTTCTAGAAAATTCTTGTCGATAAAATCTGGTGTCTGAAGTTTTTTTTAGGACTTCATCTGTAATTAGAAGTATTGAGTCAGCGTTCTAAAAAAATATTGGAGTCTGCCAGTTAGTGAGACCCTTACATCAAACGTACATTAAACTTCGTACATTTTGATCCGTTAGTTAAAAAAAACAGTTAGTAAAAAAAAATTTTGTTTCAATTTTAAGAGATGCAACTTCACATCACATTTTCTCGCTCGGCTTAGAAATTGCTTCAAATTTTTCAATAAGCGCTTTGAAATTCATGCTATTTTTTAAATGTCTCAATTTTTTTTTTGGATTTTTTAGATAAAAACTAGGTATATAACTACCTAGGTGAAAAACTAACAGTTTCGCAACCAACGTAACCAATTTCTTTTTGTATTTTCAAAAATCTTCTATCATTTTTGTTTTTATTTTCTCTAGTTGCGTTACTTTTTTTCTCTAGTATTTTTAATCAGTCGTTGTGAAAAAATAACGTTGCGAGCTGAATTTTTCCACCTAGAGGTGCCCAAATTAAGCCGCCTATTCTGGCATCATTCTGGGTTTTGCTCCTGATTTAAATTACGATAATTGAGGTTAAAAGGTTTTTTCTCACCTGTTATAACTGATAACACTATAGAGGTTATGAATAGTTTCTTCCAGTTTTCCATTCACGCTGAAAATTTTTAGCTGATTTGAATTAAAAGCTATCGGTAAGAAATACATTTTTAGTGATGTTTTTCGGCTTTTTTGACGAAACTTCTGTAAATTTAATAAAAAGTATAGGAATTATTGGATATACTAAACAGCCAGACGGATTGGATAAAGTAGTAAACTCTTAAAAGCTGATTTTTTAAAGGGTAATGCTCTTTCTAGAATGTTAACAGCAATATTCACTTTAAAAAAACTGAAAAAAACTATCAGAGAAAAAAAAACAAAAAAGGTAATCCAGTTTTAAGAAGATTAATAAAAAGGATGTTTATATGGTTTTTGGTCGTTCAAACCAGGGGCGGACTTAGGACGGCCAGGGGGTTTGGGCGGATGCCCTTCCCCTCAGGGTTTCGACCGCGCACCTTCTTTTGATACTATTTTAAGACATTCATTTTCAATTAACTGTTACTAAAAATTTCATAAACGCGCCTCTGTTGCCAAATTTTTTGTCAACGTTTTTTAATAATTGCCTCAATACGCCTTTTTTAGCTGTTTTTTTTTTCAACAGTTATCTTGCAGCAAAATTTGGTCAAAATGGGGCCTTAACTAAAAAAAAAACAACAAAATTGCGAGATCCAAGACGAAAAGAATAAAAAATATCCCTTCGAGAAAGTCATAGCTCCGCCCCTGGATCAAAAAACAAATTTTGAATTAGTTCTATGACTGGCTGCTGAAAATATCACGCCTATGGATGTCTAGTTGGTTTGAAACGTTCAACTCTAAGTTACCAAATACTTAAAAGTTTGCTATGTCGTATGAACACCAGAAAAGCAGAAAAAATAGGTGATTACTTACTTCATTAGATGCCAAAATGATTAGGAAAAAATGGACTTTTGCGTTCATTAAAATAACAGGAAGATCACAATCGACTGGGCAAAAACATCAGTAACTGGGCTTGCATTTTTTCTAACTGTTAACGCTGCATGAAAGTTTTGTTTTCCAGTGGTTTAGGTATTACATAAGCAACGGCAATATATCACAACGACAAATTTTGTGAAAAAATCAAGACACGCAGTTTCGAATAATGCACAAGTGTTCCAATTATTGCACTAGTTTTACAAATATTCCACTAAAGTTTCAATTATTGCACAAGTTTTCAAATATCGGACAAAAACATACTAAACACATGTTTTTTTGCTATATTGGACTGTTTGAAGTCACTTAGAGATAAGAGCACTTTTTTTCAATTCCTTATTCTAATTTACCACTTATGATGGAACTTTGTAATGTCTTCTCTGTACCGGTACAAACAATTAAATAAAACAAACGTCATGTGTGCAGCAGGTGTCCGTGCCTTTTTCGAAAACTTAAAGCAAAATTTCAATCTTTTAAAATTTCAAAAAATTCAAAATTCAAAAAATGAGTGTGTCAGCTTCGATTTTTTGACACGTATTTTATTCCAGATAAGCAACAGTTTATATTACATCTCGGACTTTGTTCGCATCTCGACACGGCGTGTCTCAATTTTTTGCACAGCGTGTCTCAATTTTCTCGATGATTTATATAGCTGTTGCTTGTCTACAAAAAATTAGAGTGTTAAAGATAATGTTGTGCTTTCTTTGATCAAGCAAGCCAAACAAATTAGAAAAAAACTTTGTGTTGGCGTACTTTTTTTCAAGCATGCGTGTTTTTTTGCATGTGTTTCACAACAGATAAACAGCAGCCTTTTTTGTACCACGATAATTTTTCTTTTCATGACTGCGTGTCTCAATTTGTTCATAATTTTCATGAAGAATTGAATGGCTGTTGCTTCTCTATTACTTACATATTGGAGAATTTTATGCCGTGCTTTTAACGACCTCAGATTAGACACTTGAAGAAATTGTACAAGGCAGAAACGTTTGCTAAATGGAAACTTATTTTTGCTCAATAGGAACATAATTGCCAAAATGCAAGTTCAGAAAGTATTTGAAATGATGCAGGTATAAATTATTTCACATAAAATTTCATGATTACTGCAATTGAAAATATATGGAATTAATTATTAATTTTCTGTACATTCTCTTTAAAAAAAAGTTTCACAAGAAAAAAACTGAAAACTTCTTGGGCTTTTCAGCATGACTAAATATCTCCAAATAAAATACGGAAATTTATTGAAAAACTAATATATCCATTTAGTATGTCTAAGTTGACTTTTAAGAAACTTCCTTGTGGTTTTCAGAAATCAAAACCGTCTATCTAAAATCAGTCAGTCAAATAGGTCAAAATTGGTCATCTATTAACTGTGCATTCTATATAAGTCACGCTAACAACCTTTATTTAGTGGTTGAAATACAATTGTTGTTTTGTCACCCTCCCGGGTCGAGGTGCTCACTTGTTTCGTCTTTCCGAAAAAGAGTAGTCGAGACAGGGGTTTGAGTTGAGCATCAATTCGAAACATATCTCGCGCACGGTCAAAACATACCTCAAGCACAGTCGAAATATCTTGAGCACGGTCGAAACAAACCGCAAGGACGGTCGAAACATATCGATTGTTCCGCGGTAATTTGGAGTCAAAAAGAAAAACTTCTTTCAATTATCAACATAATTTTTATTACGTTTCGGCTCAAACTGCAAATCAATTATCCAAAAGAAGCTAAAAAATATAGCTCAAGAAAGTTACATCCCTACAAAATATTCAAATCGCAAATAAAAATTTATTTTTGCTAAAAAACCATAAGAAGTTACTCAAAAAGTCGAAATTATAACGTTTAAATTTGGATAACTCACGTGGTTTGAACGTTGAAACAAATTCTGTCATAATAAATCTTGCTGGGGTCGAGCCTATTTTTTGGTGGAGACGTAACGACTTTTGGTCGAGAATGGTCGAAATAAACCGAGTTTTGGCGGAGACTGTCCAAACAAAGTGAGCACCTCGATCCGGGCTGTCTTATACAAACCATGCCTTAGAAAATTACAAATGAATTCACTTGGAAACTGACGGTGGGCTAATTAGTTTTGTAGACTAGTCTTTATTTATAATTCATTTTATTATTCAATTTGAGACCTAGGAAAAATAATACATTAGCTCTCTAGAAAACAGTCATTGTCTCTTTGAATGATTCAAGAAGTCAAACTTAACCCTTTCAACACTTAACCTCGGTTTTCCCCGGGCCATGTTTGGCTCCAGGAATTACTCCACGTGTGGACTTTCATAAGCTATTACCCGGGTCGAGGTTCCGCTCAAAAACCGCTAAAAATTTGAACGGTTGGAGCGGTTTTCGATCAAGATTTAAGCGGTTTGAGCGGTTTGGGTGTTTTTTTTTCATAAAAATAGCTTAAAATGCTCAATTTTTGATTTAAAAACAACCGCTCAAAAATCGCTCAACTCTTGCGGCGGTTTTTGAGCGGTTTGATAAGAAAAAAGCAATCAACACTATCAAAAAGACCGGAATAGGCAAGGTGACACTAAAAAGCACCAAAACTTTATACAACTTGAAAAGAAAGGCTCGAACGTGTTCCATCCAAGCAAGATAAGTCGAGCACGGTCGAGCATATTTTTGTGCCCGAGACTGCAGAAAACTATCTTGCTTGGATGGAACACGTTCAAGATATTTTTCGAATGTCTGGACAACAAATAATGTGCTCAAACTTGAATTTCCATGCTGTGCTAGAGTGGGCTGAATGCGTTTGCTCATCTATCAAGTTTTTTTTCTGTCCGCTGAACAGTTTAAATTTTCGAAACCGGTCGGAGTCGGGGAATTATGTTGCGACCATTGCGACTCAAAATGGGTATGTTGAGACTATTGTAACTCAAAATGATTATGTTGCGACTTTGCGCGACCGAAGTTTTAACCTATGTTGCTATGACACAATTTTTTTCACACAGATTTTTGGAACTAAATTTGATAATTGCATTGTATATGCGTTTTCTTTCTGCTGTTCTTGTAGCCAGCTGAGGTACAATGACAAAGATTTGAAAAAAGGAGTTTCTGAAAAGTCTATAAAATTATTAAAGTGCCGTATGTGATGCACTTCAGGATTGATCACTGTTTCCGACGGCTAAACTCGGTTAAATTAAATGATATATTTTTTTGATAGTTTCCTTGTTTTACCGCAAACATCAGAATAAAAAAGAAGAAATTTCGAGTTTGATACCAAACCTTCCCTTTCGATCTTGCTTTGAGGCGTTGAACCAAAAAAGGGAGGCAAAACACTCGGAATATTTTTATTCCCTTTACTGTTTCAATCTCCTCAAAGAAATGTCAAACGGAAAAACTTGATATCAAGCTCCAGCCTTAATTTTTGTCCGGATTTTTGAACAAAAAAACAGGAAAACTTAACTACCGAATAACCATCAGCAATGAAGATTTGAAAATTTTGATTTCACATGTTATGACATTTTTTTAATCAAGCTTAATGCTTAGCCAGTGAAAGAGAAAAGTCATTTCCAGTAATTGCCTTCATTTATTTCCATTAAAACAACATAAATCATACCACCTAATAGATGCAGCTAAACTGTAAATTAATCTTACTAGCCTAGATAGTAGTTGAAATTGTTTTTATGTTCTCGAAACTTGTGCACAGCCCATTGTAAAAAATTGGGGTCCGCTATGCTTTAAAAAAGATGAGAACAATTCAAAAAAAAAATTGCAAAAGCTATATGGACTTTGCTTAATTTAAAAAAATTTTCAGCTAACTGTAAAATAGACGGATAAGTGAAGAAATGATTAAATTTTCCGTTCTTTTTGGAAAATTTGATTCTGTTTGCAAGGTTGATGAATTTACTATACTGTCATATAGAACCATGAAAAATTGCTATGCTGCGTATAACAAAGCTTGACTTTTTGATTAATGTTTGCTAGATAACCTGATATTACCACAGTACATACCTTTTCCGAAGGAAAACAATTTTTTTCTAACTTTTTTTGTGAAAAAATCTCAGTTGTCTTAAAAATTAAAAATTTTCGATTGATAAAATGAATCATGCTTCGAATCAGCAAAAATGTTAAGTCAACCTTTTGAGCCACATTTTAGAGAAGAGCATATAAACTTATATGCTCTCCTCAGCACTAATAATCATAATGAGCTGTTTTCAAAACAATTATAAACACATAATTAAGTTCAATAATTATGGTTAATACAGGTTTGAGGGAGCATCCTAAAGATTTCAAATGAAATCTGTCGAGGGATGCCTCAGAAAGCAGAATAGTTTTAGAATAAATCTCAATTCTTATAATTGAAACATTAGTTTTTTTTTGGTAACTCTAGAAATTTTTTCATATAAAAATGGCCCATTCATGAACAACACTACAATTAGCCAACCAATCTGATTTAAATCCACAAAAACGGTCAGAAAATAATTCAAACAACCCAGAAAATAGTTGTCAAGAAAGTTATGATGAAATTCCAAACTGCTCTTTGAATTTTTTTTTGATAAAATCCGGAGAATTTTAATAAATGAAATTCAAATATTTAAGGATACACCTAATGCGCAAACTTAAAGATTCATCAATGCGTTTTGCTTCGAACATAAATTTTGAAAACAAGTCTGACTACTTGTGAGCTTATCCAGATCTTCTTTTATCAGAATTCTTTTTTTTGCATTTCTTCTTTTATCACCACGTGATATTTAGCTTGAAAGCTTCAAAATTTTCCTCCTTGTAAGTTCCGCATTGAATATAACTTACGTAGAATCGTGATGTTTTCTATTGATTGAAATTAATTCCTCAGAAGTAGTACTCAAACTAGTCTACGACCAGAGAAACATATTGAAATATTGGTTGGATGCAATTTTTGTATGCTCTTACTAGTGGTTTTGCTTTAAAAGTTTTCGTTAGTTGGTTAAAAAATCCGGAGAAACGATTTAGTTTTTCATTGAGTACTTTTATGTGCTCAACAGTGTTCAATATGCGATCCAAGTATATTACTAAGTATTTAAAATATGAAATGTGGTCTTTATAATCCTCGCTCATTTAAATTTTTTCCTGGATTTTGTGAAATTAACCAATTTTAGCTTTATCAGTGTTAGGGATAATTGTTTTCAATTAAAAAAGTGTTTAATTAATGCAATTCAGTTTTCAGCGTGTCACTGTCCGAGATTTGTTAATCAGAGCTGTATCGTCCTCGTAAAGAACAGCATGAAGATGATTGCAACACATAACTAGTATTGCGATTATAGAGCAAACACTCAAAAGTTTTTACATAGACTGGGAAGTAATGAAATGGGTCTAAACTTTCCCGTTTGTGAGTGGACATAATCTTTGTGGACTGGAATTATTTTAGCCAACTTGAAATTATTGTGAAAAAAGAGTGCATGCATTACGCAATGGTTGAGGATAATTGTTAATGCTATTACAGTACAAGATTTCCGTTTTTCAGATCAAAAACGTTCAAGCGTCAGTTCAAAATTCGTTAAAAAACGTTTTAAAATGTTTGATACATCAATTTCACTATTTTTTTGTTTTCATCTCGAAAAATAAAAGAATTTTGTTCAGAGCTATATTCATATTTTGAATAGTTTTTTCCTTCAATTGTGACCCAGCTGTTGCAATTCACAATTTAACTTGTCACATGCTTCTTTAGAAGCCTTTAGCAGCTGGATATTTTTGTCTTCGCCGGTAATTTCCGAAAGGTTGTAAGCGAACTGTCGGCATTCGTTTTTTTTTCTGATTTACAGTTGAGTTTGTTTTGATAATAATTCCTTTCAGCTTTGCTTATAACAAATTTTTGCTAGATAACCTGATATTCAAAAGCCGAATTTCCGAATTCACAGCCAAAACCAGCGTCTAGCAAAAAAAAAGTTTAATTAAAAGATAAACAAAAGAAAATTAGGAGCGCTCACGCCTATTGTCATATTGAATAAAAAACGCCAGGAAACGTTTTTTTTTGTATTTCAAAGCATTATATAGATTTTTTTTTCGAAACAATTTTTTTTTAATTTTGAGTCGCCGTTTAACGTAGAAAAAAATTTAACAACTTTTAAAAACAAACAGATTTGACGAAGTGATTTTATTGAACTGCAATTATCGCAATTCCGATTAGTTCAAAAAGAAACATCGAGAAAATACGAAATTCGGAGGTGAGGTTGCGTAATCGCAAGCTAGTCGCGTTATTGTGGACTCCTCCTAAGTTCTGTTTTGTGATCACTTATTAAGCATAAATATATATACAAATTTGTTAAATTCGGCTCAGTTTTTTTATAAATTTAATTGAAAAAAACTATAAATCTCATATCTGCTTAACAAACGTTTTAACTTTTACTCCTGGTTTAGTTTTTTCCTTCTGGAGAAACGTTTGAGTTGTCCATGTTACCTTCACTCCAAATTTTGTCAATTGAACGCTTCGCTTTTTTTTACCGCATTTCGAGTTCTGCAGAAATTTCGATTTTGTTTGTATCTACGAATTCATTAACGTTCCGGTCATTTCCTTTTTTAACCATTAAAGAAACCACGCAATTTCTTTTGAAACAATCTTGCTTTGATGCAGCTTCTTCTTTAAATCACAGCCTCTTCTTTAAGCAAGTGGTCACTCAAAAACATCGTTTGATGATTTTTTTGGGGTTTTTTGAAATTTTCAATTATCTTCTTTCTCCATATATAACATCCTTTTCTTTAGAATAAACAAGATTTGCTCTAAGACTGCAATAAGAACCACCAAATTACCCAGGTAACTCATGAAAGACATTAATCTCGTCTGGAACTATATATATTTTTTCAAAGATTTCCAGTAAAAAGCGACCACGTCATTCACCAGTTTTGCACGTCTTTGATCAGCGTTTTCAGCCTTTATTTCCCCCATCATCTTCGGTTGATTGGACGTTGAGGGATTCTCAGCATTCATGATAGTCAAATAACAAGTATAA